CCAATCGGGGGCAGGGCTGGCCAGCCAACTTTCCATGCCCCCCCCCGAGCTGGCCCAGCCCAGTGAGCTCCAATCGGGGTAGGTCAGCCAGACCCCACCCGTGCACCAGGCCTCTAGTATCCAATAACATTACAAACAATACTATGTGTTAATATGAGGAAGAGAGAGAGAGAGAGAGAGAGAGAGAGAGAGAGAATGAGAGAGAAACAGAGAGGGTCTATTTTAGAAAATAATGGTCAAGGAAAGCCTGAAGTAAGACCTGGGCCATTGGCCATGTGAAGAATCAGCCAAGCAGGTGGAAACAATACAGGCACTGGAGTGAACAGGACCCCAATGTGGCTTCAGTACAGAGTGGGAGCATAAGGGGCGATGACTTCAGATACAGCCAGTGAGGTAGCCTGTTTATTATAGAGTCTTCAAGGACCTGGCGAGGAATGATGATTCCATTCAGAAACCAAATAGAAACAGTAGAAGAGCTTTAGTCATGGCACTAATCCAATTATATGTTGTAATAAAATTATTTCGACTTGAGTGGGAATGCTTTGGAGGAAGTAAGCTTGGCTGGGAAAGGTCAGGTTAGGAGACCTGGAAGATGGTAGCTTGGACTAGGGTAGTGGCAGAAGGTGAAGAGAAGAGGAGACAAATTCAAATAGTCGTTCAGAGGTAGAATTAAGTGGGCCTGATGACTTACAGTTAATGGAAATAGGGCTGTCAAGAATGACTCACGTTTCAGTTCAAGCAACTAGGTGGATACAGGTGCAGTATGTGCTAAGATGCCTTGCAGTAGGAGGGCAGCCTGGGTGAGGGAGAAGAATTGAAAGATGGAGATGTGGAATTTATGGTGCCTGTGGGGCCAACAGCTGGCTCATGTCTATGATGAGTCACTGTGTGCCAGGCAACCGTTTGCAGGCAGTTATTTATTTTTAAATACACTTCATCTGAACATGCTCCGAAAATACAGTTGGCTTATGTTTCAGATGTTGATGAATGTGCTACTGGAAGAGTTTCCTGCCCTAGATTTAGGCAGTGTGTCAACACTTTTGGGAGTTATATCTGCAAGTGCCATAAAGGCTTCGACCTCATGTACATTGGAGGCAAATACCAATGTCACGGTAAGGAGCCCCAGTCTTGTCTTTTCCCTGTTTCTTCCTCTGGCCTCTTAATTGTGCTGAAGACTGACTTGCTAGGGGTGGGAGATGGTGGGCGGGGGAGGTTCTGGCACTAAACCAACGGGAGTCCAGTTCAACCCCCAGTACTCTGGGGTGCACAGGCAGTTTATTTCTTTGGTTTATCTGCCAGTTTTACATGGACCTTCACGTTGCAGAAAACTTTTTTTGAAACTGTCTACATATTTTCATGTCATTCTATTTATCTCCCCAGTAAACATCTCTTTTCCCTACTTCATGATGCAGATATAGACGAGTGCTCCCTGGGTCAGTATCAGTGCAGCAGCTTTGCTCACTGTTACAACGTACATGGGTCCTACAAGTGCAAATGTAAAGATGGATACCACGGCGACGGACTGAGCTGCGTGTGTGAGTAACGCTGGTCTTCCGGCTCTAGATTCCAGCAGGGAATTAGATTGCACAAGAGCTGTTATTGGGGGAGTAAAGGATCACGATTAATTGATCAGGAAAGTACAATTTTCATTGCTGGTAATATTAGTCTCTGCTTTCTACAAACAACAGAATCACGCGTTCTGGTATTTTTAAAAATTAAAGACTTGGTTATACTTTCTACGCTTAAAAGCGTTCCATTACTTGACTAAACTTTCTCTGTAGCTTCCCTTTAGCTGACAAATTTTAGAGCCCTCCCAGAGAATTTCTTAAAATTAGAAATAAATGTTTGTCATTAGCATTAGAGTATGATAGTGGGATAACCGGAATATATTCTACATTTTTGGTTCCTCATTTTATTATGTCTCCTAATTCTAAAATATTCCCTTATTTATGTGTTTTCTCTACCTTTAGTACTGTTTTCTTTTTAAATTTTTATAAGTTCTGTTTGTAGTATGAATACATTAGTAGATAAACATGGGAAAAAATACCCTCCACGATGAAAGTTTTACAAACTAAAGTCCATAATTTAGCATATATTTCATGTAACAATACATTTTAAAATTTCTGGAGTAAAATATTTACTAAAAATCCTGGGGCATAGAATCATGGGGATTAAAAGATTTTTGAAGTGTTATGCTCCCCCAGGAGTATATCGTATCAGACAGATTATATATTAATTTCTTTGGATGAAGATAATTAAGGAAAAATATTCCACAGATGATCTTGGTGACCTCTGAAAATTTCTTTTAAAAAAGCAATTATATACATTAATAAATGGGAAGAAAAATCAACTAAAATAATATGTATAACATTTAATAAAAATGTTTTACATGAGTCAAGTTTATATAAAGTGTGGAAGAGAAATTAGTCTTTAGACAATTCTAAAGATGATTTTATGATATACATGTACCATAGGGACACTTAATATAGACTCTATATATACATTTTTCATATTTTAAACATTTAGAACATCTGTGCATTTTAAAAATCTCATTGATCACCATCTGTTCCCACTTTACAAACACAACTTTTTTGTGTTTCAAATAACACAAATTTATTATAGAAATGCCAATATAATTTTTGCATTCACCCACCAGATGAATGTGTATCATATATCATATATGCACATATTTGTTATTTGGAAAACAGCATGATTTACAGTAGGGGAATATTCTAAATGTGAAAAGTAAATCTAGTTTGGCACATATTTTGATATGCTTGTTTTTTACAATTTGATATTTTACCTTTTGGGTTACACACTAATTTAAATCTTTTGACTCTTTTAGATATTCCGAAAGTCATGATTGAAGTTCACAGCAGAACGTAGAGAGAAATTTCAGATCTATTTGTGAGATGTGATAGGAGTTAGTGATAGACTTAATGTGAGAAGTGGGAGGAGAAAAGGATCAAGAATTAGTTTGTAATTTATTCCCCATTTATTGAACTAGGTAAGAGAAATTTAAAAAATCAAGAGATCTGTTCTGGGTAAAGTTATACACATCATATAATTTGGTAGTACTAATATATTAATCCAGAGGGCGCGCACACGTGTGTGTGTGTGTGTGTGTGTGTGTGTGTATCAAATTTTTTATTCATTCATTCATCTACGGACACTTAAGTTATTTCCTATGATGCCCTCAACATTAATCTGTGTTGCAAATGGCCCAATTTTCTTCTTGTTATTTCATTATGTGTGTGTGTATGTGTGTATCAAATTTTTTTATTCATTCATTCATTCATCTATGGACACAAGTTATTTCCATGTCTTGGATATTGTAAATAGTGCTGCTATGAACATGGGGTGCAAATAATATCTCTACAACATAGTGTTTTCATTTCCTTTGGATGTATTTCCAGAAATAGGATCCTTAATCATATGGTAGTCCTATTGTAAATTTGAGGACACTCCATACTGTTTTCTGTAGTGGCTGTACCAATTTACAATCCTTCCAACAGTGCATGAGGGTTCCCTTTTCCCCCACATCTATTATCTCTTTTCATGCTAGCTGTGAGATGATATCTCATTGTGGTTTTGATTTGAGTTTCCCTAATAAATATTGATGTTGAGCATCTTTTCATGTACCTATTGGCCATTCATATATCTTCTTTGGACAAATATCTATTCAGATCGTTTGCCCATTTATAATTGGATTATTTGGGGTTTTTTGTTTTGTTTTGTTTTTGCTAGTGAGCTGTATGAGTTCCCTGTATAGGTTGGATATTAACCCCTTAATAGATATATAGTTTGTACATTTTTTTCTCATTTCATAGTTGTCTTTTCGTTGATAGGTTTTTTGTTATAGTGCAGAAACTTTTCAGTTTGATGTAGTCCACTTGTTTATTTCTTATTTTGTTGCTCATGTGTTAGTTGTCATCTCCAAAAAATCATTACCAAGAACCATGTCTAGGAGCTTTTTTTTTTTTTTACTTTTTCTTTATTGATTAGTCTAGCAGCTTTTTGCCTATGTTTTTTTCTGGGAGTTTTATGTTTTCAGATCTTATGTCCAAGTGTTTAATCCATGCCAAGGTAATGAGTTGTGTAAAATAGGGGTCTAATTTCATACTTTTGCATGATTATCTAGTTTTCTACTTTACTCCAATTGAGTATTCCTGGCTCCTTCATCAAATATTGCCCATCTATGCTTGGGTTTATTTCTGGACTCTCAATTCTGTTCCATTGGTCTATGAGTCTGTTTTTTGTCAGTATCATGCTATTTTGATTACTGTAGCTTTGCAGTATAGCTTGAAATAGGAAGTTGTGATGCCTACTGCTTTCTTTTTCTCTCAGGGTTGCTTTGGCTTTTCGGGCCCTTGTGTTAGCACATTTTTAATAAGCTGTTTATGATGACATTTCAGCCATAGGCCATACATTGAATAAGTATAAAACTCATAAAAATAATCTGTATAAAGTATGTGTCATATACGCCTACTATTAAATATTACAACTCTGAATAAAAGTCAGAGAGTTGGGCAAATAAGTGTGTAGAAATGGAAGGAATATCACAGTTATATAGTAGATTATAGCTCCTATCCTGTATGACAATTCTCCTAAAATATTCAGATTTACATGAAAACTCTCAGAGATGGGGAACTTACTGTATCACATGCCATTTAACTTTCACTCTAACTGTCCATTCATTTAATCAGTAAACATTTAAAAAAATATTTTATTTTTTAAAATATATTTTTATTGATTTCAGAGAGGAAGAGAGATAACATCAACGATGAGAGAGAATCATTGATTGGCTGCCTCCTACATGCCCCACACTGGGGATTGAGCCCACAACCTGGCCTTGTGCCCTTTACTGGAATCGAACCCAGGACCCTTCAGTCTGCAGGCTGACACTCTATCCATTGAGCCAAATGGCTAGGGCTGATCAGTAAACATTTTTTAGCGTGTTTCAGAATGCCAGGCCCTGTGTGATTCATTGGGCTTACAAAGATAAAACAGAAAAGGTTACAGATGGTGGAAAAGAGTCTCCCAAAAGCTAACTGTGGTACTTGGTTATGAAAGAGATTTGTGTAGCACAATCTGGGAGTAGAGAGAAGGGGTACCAATCAGTATTTGGGCAGGGAGTGTTTTGGGTGGGGGAGCTTCTTGAGTTAAATAGGGTAAGAAGATGAGAAAAGGGAGGCATTATAGTTAGCAGGGACAGTACAGCAAAGGCACAAAGGTAGGAAGCAGCATAGGGTATGCAGTAAACCCCCAGTACACTGGAGGGTTAGGTCAGGATTGATGAGAAAAACTGCACAACTGTCCCTTGTATTTGCTGTAAGCTGGTAGTTAGATCTGGACTGGGCTAGATTAAAGACTCCCAGATTTTTAATGGGTGGCTGGGTAAAGGGTGGTGCCACCAATGGAGATAAAGGCTATCACTGATGAAGCAAGTTTTGAAGGAGGAAGAGATTCCTTTATTACCAAACCAAAATTTGCAGTTTACAGCCTTGTTCCCTGTATTTTCCTGTCATGCTTCACTTTGTTTATTCTTAGCTACCTTTGCATTCACTCCTCTCTCCTCTTCTCCTTTTGACGTTACTAGTTTCTTTTTTCCCCACTCCCTGATGGAACTCAGCTTTTCTCCTTTTAGATTGTACGCATTTGCAGTTTTTTACTAGGTGAAAAGAATACTGAATTTTGTGATTTTTTTTTAAAGAGAAAAGCTTTTTTTTTCTTTCTTTCTTTTATGTGACTCTCAATCAAATGTTTTCTTCTAGGTCACTGTCCTTTTAAAATGAAATGGAGATTCTCCAATTCTGAAATACTTGTAATTGTGTGCGTACCCTTTTCTGTAATGATGGTTACTTTGAATTTAGATTAGTTCACACAAACACTCCATCCATGCTTTTGTTCTGGCCCTCCGGTCCAGTTTAAGAACCCATTGTGGCCCTCGAGTCAAAAAGTTTGCCCACCCCTGGCTTAGATGGTTGATCTAATAACATATTTATATGTGCATAACTCTTATTTTTTGAAAAGCACACTTTCTGATCATTTTTATCCTCGCACCTTCTCTTTCTTTCTCCTTCCCCTTCTTTACTTTCCTTCTCCTTTCCCCTCTCTCTCTCCTCTCCCTCCTCCTTCTCTCTCTCATGTATCTCCTTTTCTTACTCTATTTTTTTTCTTTATCTCTTCGTAATCATGCAATGGAATGTTTATTAATGGATGCTTAACTAACTGTAGTATTTATATTATTCTGCTGCTTAAGGTAGAGTTGTAAGAACTTGGCTATTTCATATAA